TCTCTCTCTGTCTCTCTCACACACCTCTGTCAATGTGTCTTTCAAATAAATGAATGAATTTTTTTTTTAAAGGCAACTCTCCCCCGGTATGAAATAGACTCCATTTCTTCTGACCTTCTGCACTGGACTAAATGGTGCACCCTTCCCACCCCGCAACTGACTTCCTCTCCCGGAATCCAGAATCTGTGAATGTGACCTTATTTGGTAAAAGGGACTTTGCAGATGTAATTAAGTTAATAATCTTGAGATGAGATCATCCCAGATTATCTGGGGAGGCCCTAAATCCAGTGGCAGTGTCCTTAGAAAGTCAGCGAGAGGTTTGAGACGGAAGAGGAGGATAAAGCCCACCCAGGAGAAGTGGTGCACAGGCAGAGCAAAGAGCTGCAGCCGCCCACCGAGGCATTGCAACTGCTGCCTGGAGCCAGAAGGGGCAAGGAATGAACTTGTCTCCCAGGGTCTCCAGAGAGAGTGAATCTCTGCCCACACCCTAATTTTATATTTCCAGTTTCCAGATTTGTACAAGAATAAATTTCTTATTTTAAGCTACTAGATTTGTGGCAATCTGCTAGAGCAGTCCTGGGAAATGAACCCATCTACTCCGATACAATACCACAGTAATCCCCCCTCACCCCACCCCCGTCAGCCCATCATCAGTGTTCCCCTCTCCACTGGGACGTTCGCACCAACTCACAAACATACTGTTGAGTTTTTCCGCTTTGACTTCATTTCCACTTGCAGTTACCACTCCATTTCTTCACTTTCTAATCTGTAGTAAAACTCAAAAAAAAAAAAAAAATCTGTGATTCTTCTCCTTCATTTTCTCCATAAACTCATTCTGCTCAGGATTTTGTCCAGAGTACTCCACCCAAATAGCCCTTGCCAAGGCCGCCGTTGACCGGCACATGGCCAACAAGGAAGGGTTCATTCCCTGCCCCCCTTCCACTTGACCAGCAGCATTTGACGTAGCCCTGTCTCTTCTCTCCTGGGAACACTTTCTTCCCTTGGGTTCTAGGAAACTGCACTCCACACTCACTTGCAAAGTGATCTCATCCCATCTTGAGACTTTAAACACCATCTGTACACAGATAACTTCCAAATTTATACCTCCAGCCCAGACTTTCCTCTGAACTCCAGACTCACATAAACAAACGTCCTCTTTGACACTGCCATTTGGCTGTCTAAAAGGCATCTCAACTTCACCATGCCCAAAACTGAACTCTGCATCTTCCCCAAGTTCTGCTCTTCCACGGTTCCCTGTAGTTCAGACCAAACACCTTGCAATTGCCTCCCTCATTTCTTCCACCTTACATCCAATTTGCCAGGCATTGCTCTTGGTTCTATAAAACTTCGAAATAGAATCCGGAGTCTGCTTCTCAGTCACATTCATGGCTTCCCTCCTGCTCCAAGCCCCCATCCTCTCTCCCGAATTCCTGCAAGAGGTTCCTCAACCTTTGCTGGCATCTTGGTCTCTGCCTTGTCTCACTCCAGCCCAGCATCAGCAGGGAGCCAACGAGTCATATATCATGGTCCTCCTAGGTTCAAAATCCTGCAGTAGCTCCCCACGTCTTTCCGAATATAAGCAAATGCTCTTACTATGGCCCCCAAGTTCCACATGGTCTACTTCCGTGACCTCAGGAACCTTAATTTCGTCTTCTTTCCAACTCACCTCACCCCACAGGCACCACAGTCTCTTTGCTCTTCCTTGATTATGTCAAGGACTCTCCTATCCAGAACTTTTGCTCTGGTTGTTGCCTTTGCCTGGAAAACTCTTCTTCCACACATCCTGACGTGTCTTCCCCTCATCTTCTCAACAGGGTCTCCTTGGGCCATCTCATTTAACACTGCTACCCCTTTTCCTCCTTTTCCTCAATGTTCCCTACCCTAGTGTTCACAATTTAATATGATAGAATACGTATACATATGTTATGATTTATTTTCTCTCTGCTCCCTCTTGCTTCATGAGGAGTTTTCTTCCCAGATGTCTCCTCTGAACACATCTCAGTGTTTTTAGTGGTTGCTCAGAAAACATTTCTTGGCTGGGACAGTGCTTCGGGATGGAAGCAAAAGTGCACATAACCAGAGGACACTCACTGATGAACAATTTCTTGTTTTGTTGAGGGAGGGGATGTAGTAATTCTTACTTTTCTTAATGAGGTTCAAAGACCTTGAGAGTATATCCTACACATCCTCAATAACCCATTTTGAGTGACCATCTGGTAAAATCATGCTAGGTCTTATTTGGTTGCTAGATATATTGTTCCTGGGATATGTGTTCTACATTATTTTCTGATTATGGTATATTTGTACCTATTGCTTTTTTTTGTCATAAAACTGCTTCTTACCTCCAAGTTCTAGGATTCCAGCTTTTATGAAAAAGCTCTATTGATACTGACTAGAGCTCACATTTTCATAGACTTTGAGCTCATCTAATCCTCTTTTTAAGTTTAAGAGTCAATCACAGTTTATCCTGATGGAAAAATCCCTCTGCTCTCTTAATTTTTTAGTTGCTCCTATCTAAATCTTTGCAACTTTTTATTCATTTCATTTTCTGGTATTTTTTTCTTAAATGCATGTTATTCATATTTATTTGAAAGGCAGAGAGACACAGATGGAGAGAGGTCGTCCATCCACTGGTTCCCTCTTCAAATGCCTACAATAGCTGGGGCTGAACCAAGCAGAACCCAACTGAGTTCCTCATGTGAGTGCAAGAGATCCAAGTACTTGAACCATCACCTGCTGCCTCCCAGGGTGCTCATTAGCAGGAAGCTGGATTCAGGTTGGGCAGGAACACAAACCCAAGCACTGAGATATGAAATGCCCCAAACTGGACCATGACGTTTTGAGTATGGCCAACGTGCTCCTAGCTGCTATTTCCCAGTGTTGTGTGTGTGTGTGTGTTTTGTTTTCTCCTAAGCAAGTTCCATGGAGGTTCAAGGCTGGGTATCAGGAGGTATGTTCATCAGGGTGTACTCATCTGAAGTCATCAGTAAGCTAAAGTGTGATGCCACAGTAAAGCAGTTGTTTTTTTGTTGTTGATGTTGGTTGGTTTTTTTCGTTTGTTTGTTTGTTGTTTATTTTTGCTCAAGTAACCATCTCAAGAGATTCTAGATTGGTAGAGAAGTTCTGTTCCATACACTTGTTCAAGAACTTAGACTCTCATTCTTGGGTCATCCTGACCTGGGGATGAAGAAAAGAGCACAGAGGAGCATTTGTGAGAGTTTTCACAAGCCAGGCCTGGCAGGGTATAGCATCACTTCCACTCCAGTATCACCAGCTAAAGGTCTTCATCACATGGTCTCACTTAGCTGCAAGGGAGGCTGGGAAATTCAGGCTAGCTGACTTTTTTTTTTTTTTAAGATTTATTTATTTATTTGAAAGTCAGAGTTACACAGAAGGAGAGGCAGAGAGAGAGAGAGAGAGAGAGAGAGAGAGAGAGAAAGAGAGAGAGAGAGAGGTCTTCCATTCGCTAGTTCACTCCCCAATTGGCCACAACAGCTGGAGCTGCGCCCATCCAAAGCCAGGAACCTGGAGTTTCTTCTGGGTCTCCCACACAGGTATAGGGGCCCAAGGAATTGGGCCATCTTCTACTCCTTTCCCAGGCCATAGCAGAGAGCTGGATTAGAAATAGAGCAGTCGGGACTAGAACCGGTGCCCATATGGGATGCCAGCACTGCAGGCCATGGCATTTTACTAAATGTGGTACCTTTAGTAGCACCAAGATAAGCATTGTTGTTGCTGGTGCTGAAGCAGGAAGCCAACCCACTGTGCCACAGTGCTGGCCCCAACTAGATTTTCATACTCAACTATCATTTTCTGCCATGGGGGTGGGGGTTGAGAAATGCACATACACATATAAAATATACCTTTTATTCAATTTATTTTGTGTATTTTGAAAATGTTTCATGGAGAAATATTACTTTATCTGTTCAAATGATAAGATTGTGGTTTCACTTCACTTTCATTGTCCCAACTGTCTCATATGACTGTTAGGACGAAGAGCTGGGGCTATGATACATGGGCAGGCAAGGTACAAACATCATCGTACCATTCGTTGAAAAGAACAGGGGAAAACTGCTTTGGGAGACAGGGCTGGTGCTCTGCCCATACCTCTGCAGCACGTTCCTTGTTGTCACTGACCACATCCTCTGGCTAACCAAGCCTGCTCTGCTCAATGCAGTGACCTGGAAGTCCTCGAAGTTTATGTTCCCTGTGCCTTTGAGCAATGGATGTCCCATATTGGCTCTCAGACTTCCTGTGATTGAGTGCCAGTCACTTTTGCTTGCCCTTCACTGGCTACCTTCCTTTCCTGTCTCCATGCTCTGCACCCTGCCTGTATTTCCTTGGATGGCTCCCAAATATACTGTTTGTTCTATCTCAGGGGTTAGTGGGAACCCAATCTAAGGCACCTAACCTGGTATTGTCTTTATGCATACTGATCATGGTTTAGCACAGCTCAAGTAGCCTATGTTGGAAATTGGCAAAGCCAAGGGAAGAGAAGGAAACTCCTCAGACACCATGTGATTATGTCACCCTGGGGCTTGAGGTGAGGAGAGGCAGGGTCAGCTGTCTCTGTGCTGCAAGCATTGTGAGAAGAAAACAATAGTAATGAACTTGCACTTCTCAGCACCAGCAAGTACAATGCTTATCCTGGTGCTACTAAAGGTACCACATTTAGTAAAATAAAGCAATTGACCCAGTAGGGGGTGACTCCTGTTTGTCTGATGGGATCCTAGGGATAAATGAGCCAGTAAGAACCAACCTCCATGTGCTTCATGTATACAAATTCAGGAGCAGAGTAATACTTCCAACCATACTCTCCCTCCTGCACACACTCCCACTTTCCCTCCTCCTTTAGTTTTTATTTGTCTGGGGGAATCCCAGCTTACTTCATTCCTCCAATTCCCTCCCCCATGGACCAATTCAATGGAGGACCCAGGAGCCACAGGCTCTTAAAGGAAGCCACCAGGCCTTCTTGTTTGCTGAGTCAACAAAGGACTTTCAGGAATGGGAAGGAAGTTGTCATGCTCTTTATTTTATTTGACTCACCCAGCATGACAGGACACAGAAGCCACTGCCTTCCACAGGGGATGGCATCTTCGCCAACAGAAGCAGGAAGCCAAAGACAAGGTGCAGGAACACCCACGTCTGATCGTCTTGCACCTGCTGCAGAAAGGGTGGGTGACCAGAACTCAAACCCGAGTCTGCTCCTGTTCAGAAGCCTTGTCTGAAAGGAGCATCCTCCAAGACGTCACCTCCCAGGGCCAAGCCGAAGAAACAGCACAGTATTCAGTGAAATCTGATGAAGCCACTGTTCCTTCTCCCGATGCCCCCGTGGCACAACTTTACCAGATGCATGAAAAGGAAATGTCAACAAATTTAATATAAGAATTAAATTCCTGGAGCAGATTTTGGTGCAGTGGTTAAACTGCTGCTTGGGACTCTTGCATCCCATTTTGGAGTGCCTAGATTCAGCATGTGGGTGAGTGAGTAGGCAGTTAGAAGATTCTCTTTCCCTCTCTCTCTCTCTCTCAAGTCAAACTAAAGAAATAAAAATTTAGAAGTGAATTTGTTCTTTTAAATGAATTTTATTTTTTTATTGTACATTTCTTCATGGCTACAGTGTGAGAACTTTGTTACGTATATCCAGTGGGTATACACAGGGTAATTAGCGCTTCTGTTTCCTTAAACTTTATTTTGTGGTTAGCATGCGATCATGCCACCTGCCTCTAGGGTGCAATGTGACGCTCCGTACAGGTTCAGGTATCCAACACGCTCTGATCAAATCAGGGCACTCAACATAGCCATCTGCCTGTCACCAGCCCTTGTTTGGAGCCCTTGAGTTCCTCCCTTCCAGACATTTATAAAATACAGATTATGGTGAACTGTAGTCCCTCACTTGGACTGCACAACATCAGTACTTTCTCTTCCACCCAAGTATGTTTGGGCACCTGTTATGCAACCTCCCTCTATGCCTTTTCCCTGTACCGTTCCCTGTCTCTAAAAATCATTTTGAATTCACTTGTATTAGTGATTCCTGAACCAGGGATGTCTTATCTAAATAACAGATAAGCAGTCCACAGGCTCAGCTAGATCCGGGAACAAGGAAACAGCGTAATAGGAGGAAGCGGTTGGGTAACTTCAGGTCACTTGGGGTCACTTTCCTTGTGAGAGTTAAGGCAGGAGGGGGAGTCCTGACCATGCCACCTGAGCCTGGTTGCCCACTAAAAGCTCCTCTTCCATGACTTTCTGCAAGTCTTCCATTTTTAGGAAAATTGATTTGTATGGGGAATTTCCTGCTTCCTTAAAGGTTCAGGTTGACGATGTGGTACTTAGCAGGAGCAATTCTACTTAGGTTTTGTTTGCTGGGGCCTAGCGCAGGAATGCAGCACAAAATAATGTCCTCTTATAAATTGTATTTAACAGGTGGAACGCATTTTATTGGTTCTTTTCCTCACTGTCTCTGCTGGCTTGAAAGATATACAGTTTCTATTTGTTGAATATTTACCCCTTAAATTTTAACAATTTATATTTCTTTATCCAGACGAGACATTACTCTTACTACATTACTATATTACATTACTCTAGGAAAACAAGTAAAATTAATCCAGATAAAGAGGCTAAAAGATCACACGCAGAACATATTCATGAAATACAGGATGAGCCTGGAGCACCTGGTAGTGCCAGAAAGTAAAGAAATATAACAAATGAACAAAAACCCCAAACTCAAAGTCATAGAGTTTATGTCAAGGGACATAGAATTTACTGGAAATATCCCAGTGGCG